GGCTGGTGGGTGGAGAAGCTGGGAGAGCTGGGGCTGGGCAGCCTGGGGAGGAGAAGGCTGCAGGGAGAGCTTAGAGCATTACTTCAAGGGGGCTTGTAAGAAAGATGGGGACAAACTTTGTAGCAGGGCCTGTTGTGAAAGGACAAGGGGTGATGGTTTTAAACTAAAAGATGGCAGATTTAGACTACATATAAGAAAGAAATATTTTGCAATGAGAGCGGTGAAACCCTGGCACAGGTTGCCCAGAGAGGTGGTAGATGCCCCATCCCTGGAAACATTCAAGGTCAGGCTGGACAGGGCTCTGAGCAATCTGGCGTAGTTGAAGATAGCCCCGCTTGTTGCAGGAGATTGAGCTAGATGGCCTCCAAACGTCCCTTCCAACACAAACCACTCTATGACTCTACGATTCTCCTCCTCTCGGTCTTCACAAGATGACCCCCACCTGCAGCGTCCTCCTTACCTTGCTCGCCCTTTGCACCCTGCTCCCCATCTCTGCCGTTGCTGCCAGGCTGTCCTGGTGACCCCGGGATGCCTGGGATGGTGCCGTAGGTCTTGCAGAGTGTGGCACCTGCGAGCTGCCCTCCAGCCAGGCAGATCAGCATCGCCCACACGGTCTGCATCTGCTGGAGCACAGAAGGATGTCAAGGGGCTTGCCTTGGGCAGTGGGAGGGGTGGGGAAGGCACCCTGCTGCTCTGGGGGACGATGTCAAATCTGCTCACCTGATGGCCTTGGAGGCAGCAGTCCCTTTGGTCACGGGAGACCTGGTCAGTGTCTTCCCACTCCTAAATTACTAATTTACAAGTGCCCAGAGCCAGAGCTTCAGCCACATGAATATCTGGGGACAGGTCAGCCTGTCCCAGAGGTCTGATGTCCAGCCTGGCCATGCTGCTGCCACGGACATGTGCTGCAGGTCCCTGATGTTCTGAGTCCCCGGTGCTCCCTCAGAGGAGAAATTCTCCAGCCACTAGGACCGCAACTGTAGGGTAAAATCCTTCCCCAGGCCAGAGCAGTTTCGTCATCCGCAAGGAGACAGCTGTAACTTTCCACCAGCATATTCGAGGGACAGCTTTAGTCGTTGCAGATGGCAAAGGAATCCCCAAATCTGCCCTCCTGACTCCTGTGGGTTCCCCTTGGGTCCTGCTTCATTTCAGGAGCGTTTCTGTATCTAACTAGCCTTACTGGCACGGTCCTCTGGGCTTCCAGTCTTGCTGCTGCCCTCCCTGCAGCCCACAGCTCGGGTCCTTGCCCCAGCTCCTGGTGCATGTGTGGTAAGCACTGGGCGTTTGGGGGCTGTACCTGGACATCACATCACCCCAGCCACACTCTCTGGCCTGAAGAGGACTTTCCCAGTACTGAAACCCTGGTGTTAGTGGGAAAAGAGTCTGGTGAGTCAGATTCTCCAGCAGCAGCAGCTCCGATTCAGATGTGGCAGGTACAAGGATGGATCTGCAGGCTCCCAGCCCAGGTCCAGGCAGACAAGAGCATCTCAGGGCAGGACAGCACTCCCAGGGCACCTTTCAGACTGGTGCTTGGGCCCTGATCACCCCTCTGGGCCTTTGCCATCTCCCCTTTCCATCCCCCCCTTCCCCCAGGTGGAGGAGGAGTGGTCGAGGTCCCACCAGGGACCTCCTCCACCCCCAGCCCAGCAGCCCCCTTTCTCTCCTGCCTCGAGCCACAGCAAAATGCCAGTGATGCAGGGGGTGACAGTCACCCTGGTGCTGCCGGGTTCCCCACATGCAGGAGCACACCTGTAGTGGGGAACTGGGGCTCAGCTTTGCCGATGCTTTGCTCTTACCTTGAGCTTCTTGTTGGGCAGATGGGGAGACGGAGCAGGACACACCAGCGCCCTGCTTGGAAATGACCACAAGGAGAAGCAGAAGTTTCCTGCAAGGGTTATTGCGAAAGGATCTGGGCCACATCCCTTTTTTATCTTTAGCTCCTACCCTTTCTTCAGCGGCACTTTCATATCCGCCATGAATGCTGCCGCCAGCTCAGCAGAACGTGCTGTCCCCAGGCAGCACTTTGGGGGACCCTCAGACACACAGCTCTGGCCCTGGGGACCGGAGCGATGTCTGCTCCGCTGTGCAGGGCCCCTGGGTGCTGCTGGGTGTGCTTGCTGTGGGGAACGCTGCCGTGAGCTCCAGGGGAGTTTGGGGTAACCCCTCAGGACTGCAGAAATGTGGATGCACATAGACAGCATCCCTCAGGCTCCGCCACACACACCCAGCCCTGCTGGGGGGTACCGGCAGGCCCAGAGGATGCTACGGGGTCTCAGCATCTGTCACCGTGAATCTGCCCCCCAGGCTCTCCTAAATGTTGCAGACGGGAAGCGGTTTTACCCTGCCGTAAAAATATTTCCAGTCTTGCTTTTTGCTGACTGGCCAGCAGGTCGAGGGAGGGTCT